AAGGAAAAGGAGGAGGAGGAAGAAGAAGAAGAAGAAGAAGAAGAAGAAGTAGAATAATAAAAAGAGCTCCGATAAAAGCGTATTGTTTCATAAAATGAACAATAAAATTTATATTCGAGCTAAGTTTCATCCTGGGAAATATTCGTAAAACGATTTTTACTTTTACGTGACTTTTCTTACTATTCGTGTATTTCTTTCTTTCTTTCTTTCTCTCCCTTTTCTTTTTTCTCGTCAAACAAAGAGAGAAAGAGAGAGAAATGAGTATTGAAACGTATAATCCAAAAGATATATTCATTCTAACAAAACAAAAGTTAAATTAATGATCACTCAAGGAAATATTTTCTATCTAATTGTAAATGTTCTTTGAAACTTCTACGATACACGTAAATTTATTTAGTATAATACTTTTTCTTTTTTCTCTTATATATTTATATTATAGAATTTCATGTTAAATGGGAGTAAAAAAATTAGTTATTCAAAATAATTAGATAATAAAATTCCATGATACGATATATATATATACGTTAATAATGGAAACAAAAGAGAATAATACATTCTTACTTTGAAATATAAATAATATAAAAAAAAAAAAAAAAAAATGAAACAACCCTCCTAATTATCGATTGAGAAATAAATTAATTATCACGAATATAATTAGATAATCAAATTCTGATTGTCCCTACCAAATATCAATAAAAAAGAATATACTCGATTATATAAAGAGAGACGTAAGAATAAACAAATAAGTTTCATAATAATAAATGTGAACAAATTCATTACACAATTGATCGTAATTAAACCCATATAAATTATACGCGTACAAACTGACACTCAAAAGTTTCTTCTTACCCTCGGGTGATATTAAAAATTGACGAATCTATTATCAAACTTTACGAGATCATTTATTTATACCGCATTGTTTCGGACAAACAAAGATTATACAATAGTACAGTAATTGTTTATTTAATCTGCGTATACGTATACATTATGAGAAGAAGGGGGAGGGGGGGCCTTGCTTTCAAAGATAAATCCATACTGCTGTTGGCTGCATTCGTAATTTTTTTTGTCCACCCCCCGTTCCCTCACCACCCTCAAACTATAGCAACTCTGTTAGGTGAATTTCGGTGAAACTGGCAGCGAGTATTATGCTATCGTCAAATATCCATGCATTTGTATTCTCGTGGGCCTTCAAGGAATATATGTATATCGCATCGCTCAATTAATGTTCGACGAGACTCGCGGCCAAACTTTCAATTTGGTTTGGCAGCACGTTTCTGAATAATTCAATCCACCCTCTAACCATCCCTCCCCATTATAACTATAAGAACCGTACTATTAAACTCGTTTCGCGAGCTTTTCCATCTTTGTATCGATTTCGACTCGTTGCCAGTTAACCTATGTATTTAACTATCTACTTATTTATCATATGTATCTATCTATCTGCATATCTATAACGCGTATCTATCTCTTTAAATAATAAATATGGATATATGTTATATTTATAAGTTGATGTTTTTCATAAATATTCAACCGGTTTACTTTTATTTTACAAATATTTTATTACGTTTGTTTTTTTTTTTTAAATATATATATATATATTTATTTATATTATGATTAATGATTGTGTATGTATATTGATTAATAATATATGTTAAATATGCAATGATTGTTAAATGTGATCTAACTTGGTTTCTTCTTTTTATTTTTTTATATTCTAACACGTTTCATTCTGAATTATATTTTTCAAAATTATTTTCATTTAATAACAAGCACAGACAATTGTGTATTGTAATTATATCAATTATTTATTAATAGAATAATTATTGCATTTGTGTGTATCTCAATTTTATTTCATTTTCTGTATACCTGACGTTGTAATGTATTAATTGTGAATTGGAAGTATATATATAAAACAGTAATATTTATCTCGTTTTATAAATTTTGTAGTATTGTAAAATGGTAAAACAATTATTTGACTAATATTTTATATGTGGTTTATCGCGTTTTCTAGATTAATCAATGATAAATCATTGTGCATTATATTTCATTAATGTTTTATAGAAAATTTCAACGTATTGTGTTGAACGAGTATTTTTTACGATGACTATTATTGCAGTAATATTTATACGAAGGGGAGGGGGGTGGACAATATATTATATAAAATATATATTATTGTCAAAAGAACTAATGCTCATCTCTTCATATTTTTATTTCTTTCACGAATACTTCGAAAGCTTTTATACACGAACCAAATGAAAATACACTTGTATTACGAGAAAACATACTTTCAATGTCCCTTAAGTGCCGTAAGAGAATTCAACCGAACGAACTAGGCCACTATTCTGTTATTATCATTTGAACGATGACCTAGGTTTCTATTATGTTTTATCTCCTATTTTTTTTAAACATTGATTCTGTAAATAATGATACATTTTTTTGTCTTTTCCCTCAATTCTAACATTACAACAAAACAATGAAAAATGACTTTCCGTTCGACTACGTATCTGAAACTATTAATTTTTAGGACTTTTATTGAAGGTTCTTTTCTTTTTTTATAAATTGTTTTTGCGATAAAATAATTATTCAAGTTGCGAATCAATATTTCTAGGTATGACACATTTGTCAATTTTATATTTTAATCAAATTTTTTATAGCTAACATTCGTCATTCGTCATTTTTAATCAATTTTTCCTAACAGAATTTTTTTTGTTATATTTTGATTAAATAGTTTTCTACTTTCTTTTTTTTGTGGAGTATATATGATTTACTAACTATAAATTAAATTTATCGAATATTTTTGTTTTTTCTTTTTTTCTAGGATATTTAATATATTTGAAAATTAAAAATAAATCTTATAAAATTAAATGTATCGACACACACACACACACACACATATATATATATATATATATATAAATACGTAATTAATTTCAATTTATTTCTAAATAAACTTATTAAAAACTATCACGAATAGAATGAATTAAGCAGTGAGATGTTCTATTTAAATAACATTCTCACGTAGACACGTACGAACAAAATTACATAATTAAAGAGATACGATTTTATGATTATCCAACTATAGCAATGCGTTAATAACTACCTACCTAACGTTGCAAAATACTCGTCAAAGAGAAAGAAGAAAATGTAATATTGCAGGAAGCTTAGTCCACGACTCTCTCTCGAAAAAAAAGAAAAAAATTAACGAAAAGAAAAAAGAAAGAAAAAAGATATAATGAAAGGAATAAAAAAGAAAAGAAAAGAAAAAAGTAGAAACAAGTAAAGCAAAAGTTTACGAGATATAAGACTTTTTAAAGAAATTCCAACAATTCAACGAATTTATATTAAACAACGTGACCTCCTATCGAAATAATACTAATCTTCAAAAGAAACATTATTACTATATTTTCAGATTAAACAAAAACGTGTGTAGAATAATTCAATGATAAATTCTTTTTCGAATAATCGAAATTATTAATTAAAAAGATGAGAGAGAAGATGGAGAAGAAATATTCGTTAGAAATGTTTTCTTCGATCTTTCGAAAGATACGAATAAAAAGGTAAGAAAAAAATGATTATGTACTTGTAATATTTCTGCATGAGATGCAATAAGTTAGGCAATCATAAATGACAAAAATTATTATAAATACTTGAAAAAATATTCTATTTCATGTAATACTACTTGGTAAAGGAACGAAAAAGATGTTAAAATCAATACTCCGTTAGAATCTTGAAAATTCGCAGAATCATCGAGTAGGAAATGCGATAGGTTTTCACTGTGTCCCGTTTTTCGAATCTACCTATCGTAAAAGTCGAACACAAAGTGTACACATACACATAAATATATGTAACGATGTCTTTTACATAGACGTGTATACCTGTTTTAAAAAGAATGCTTCTTCGCGTGTGTGTATGTATATGTGTAATTCTTTTTCACTATAACGAGAACGACAAGAAGAAGAAAAATGTATACGTGACAGACAGACAGACACATGGCTGCCTTCTGTCACATGTGTGTTTGTATCCTGACATGACGACGATGACGAAGAATAAAAAAGGGACAAAAGGGATACGAGGGAGAAAGAAAAGAAAAAGGGAAGAATCACGATTCACGAGGAACACAACGTAGTTTGTAAAATGCGAAACTATATATCGAGTTAAAGTTAATGTTTATAAAGAAAGATTATACGTAAATTATAAAAAAGGTAAAATGTGACATTTTGCAACGTTTCTAAATTGGCATAAAAATTTGCTACTCTTGTAATTTTACAATTGATCGGAAAAAAAGAAAAAAAACACATTAAATTAAAATGTCTCGTAAATAAGTAATTAATATTTAAGATCGTCTAACAATTTATAATCCATCTCTGTATCTTATAACCATAAAATATTCTACGCAAAATGTTTATAACAAAATGTATGCAATCTATACAAGTTTTTTAAGCGGATTAAAAATCGCAGAAATTTAACTAAAAAAAAAAATGAAAAAACAGCAACAACAAACTTATCATCAGTCAAACGATGTCGTTGTTAACATCTGCGAATAAATTCATTCATATATATGGATCATCACGAACGTGACTAAAATGAGGCTGGAAATTTGGACTAGATCCCGAATATGCTTGTTATTATTATATTAACCTAACTTATATATATGTATAACATATTCTTGAAAATCTCTCCCACACGTACACACACACATATTATTAACAACATTTAATATATATGCCAAAGTAAATGGGTTTAATAACCGGTTGTATTAATATTTATATTAAAATATTCCAAATGTAGACAAAAAAATATGATTAAATAACGAACATTAATATGCTCGTCAAATTGGTCAATATGAATGCGCGTTTAAAAGAAAAGAAAATAATTAAAATATATAATTAAAATAAACATGAAATGTTTTGAAATGAAACTTATTGATGGATAGATAAATTGATTCACGTTTGAATTTCGTATTAATGAAATATTGAAATGATTTGTAAATGAACACTTACCGGTTACCGGTGCTTCGATATCGATCATGGTCTTTTCTGAGCGTAAAATGGCTGCGCCATCATTGACTATACGAAGTGCGGCAGCTTCGTCGATTCTACCTTCGAGAGTAAAATGTTGTTTTAGGATTTCGGGTCTTGGCCGATCCGTTGTCGAATCAAAGACCTCTGCCACTGTCAGCTTCTGCGACGGTGGAAAGAGTACATCTGTCAAGATAAACAAATTAAATTATCGATTAGTATAATATTATATACATATATATATATATATATGTATATATTTTTTTTCTTTTATTTATTTATTTATTTATTCATACGATCGAACAAAGATGTATATCTGTGTGGCAAAAGTTAAAACCACGACAATAATATTCAAATAATTGTTTTAACAAATTATTCACACGATCGATTTTCTTCGCAATCTTCGAAACTATTATATTTTTTTGTTTTGTAGGAATAAGTTTAATTTTTTTGAAAAAAAAGATAAGAATAATTCATTTATAAAATCATTTGTGAGAAACTTTTGATTACCAACTTGTATTATTGAAATATGGTTTAGTTATAATGTTCATTGGTATTGTTAATAATTGTCGAGTATAATTAATATTTTCATATGTAGAAAGTACCTGGCAACTCTCTCTCTCTCTCTCTCTTTCTCTCTCTCTATATATATATATATTTATGATATTTAAATTACAAATAGATGGTTAATTAAAGTTTGTACGCTATATAAATTACTCCAAACACGTATGAATACTTTGTTAATGCAATTAATTAATTATTTAACAATTGGGCAATATGCACACTTTCTATTTACAATAGAAACAATTTATAATTGAAATTGACCAAGTGTTTTATCCATACATTTTACACTTATATTATATATATAGATCTACATATCTGCAAAATATTGAACCACAGATACAGTTAATGCGTACGTTTAAACGTGAAATTATATGAATAATTTTGCGAATCATTGAATATATATGTACGAATGTATTCATTATCGATCGAGTAATAACAATATATACTTTTTACTTGATACTAATACTTTTTCTACCCGTTCATGTGATATATGTAATTCATCATTTTATTTATGTTAATTCACTGTCATAATAATACTACCACATAGATATATTAAATAATACGTAATTTTTACAACACGTGTATATAAACAGTATGAATAATATTTAAGTAAATATTAGTTACAAGTGCTTAAGTAAAAAGAACACGTTTTGATAATCTAACATAAAAATTCACCTACAAGCTCGTAAATGTGTAAAATGTGTATATATATATGTACATATATATAATCTTTAAATAAATATTTGTTATGTGAGTACGTAAGAAAGAACACGAGTGGATTGTTTTACATGAAATTTACCTACTTGAACTTGTGTCAACTACACCCACACACGTACTCGCATAGTTAAACGTATGCCCATAAAAATTCACGCGTATACACGAAGAAACTACATAAACGTATAAATATGTCCTAAGAAAAATACTACACGGTAAGAACATAGAGTATTTCCTATAACAATTTTCAAAATCAATAATTATTTTTGATCTAACATAAAACATCACACTTCTCCTAAACGTAATATTCGAATTAACATAAATGTTAGTTAATGAGATTAGATTGAACGTAAACGATGTTATATAGTATGTATATATCGATAGACTGCTTATGAAAAATATATATACGAAGTTAAACATACATATGGTACATGCATACAAACATACGCACACATAGAGAGCGAGAGAGAGAGAGAGAGAGTTTTTAATCTGAAGTTTTTAATCTTCAATGGAGCCGCTTTTTAAACGTGTTTGGTTTAGCGTGCTTGCATTTTCTGAGAAGATATCTATTGTGCACAACCTATATAGCACATTGTAAGAGCGTAAACGTTGTTTACTCGCTACTGAAATTAACCGAGAAATGCAAACGTTGGTTAATACGAACATTATTTCAGTACATTGTACTCTTTCTAGGACAACAAAAATATGCTACCGAATTAGTATATCTTTTTTTCTTCTACTCTCTCTCCCTTACTCTATGTTTCTATTAAACACAATTACTCGTTATAAAGCATCGAAAGGGAATTTTGTAAAATAAAAAAAAATATATGTATATATATATATATATATATTAATAAAAACGTCGATGTTCTTTGTAAATAAGTAAAAACATGTTAATCGCGTATCGGAAAGGGATTAAAAAAAAGAAAAAAAAGAAAGAAAGAAAGATATAGTAGGAAAATAAATAAAAAGAAGAAATAATGTTTAGAAAGACCTGGCCTAGCTCTATCATAAATGACAGGTACACGTTTCTTCCATCGTTTTTGAAAAGCTTTACTAATCCGCATGAACTCGTTCTTATTGGATAACAAAGAAGAAGAAGAAGGGGAAGAATACACCGCAGACTGTTTATTCCTTTTCGGCGTGGACAGTTTTTTCTTCGGCCATCTGATATTTTCTTTCGAATTCGGTCGCCACTTTTTTTCGGCGACAGGAGACTTCAATGCGTGGGACGATATCGAACGTTTACGATTATTCGGTAATATCCTTTTTGATTGACGACGTATCACGGAATGATCCTTGGCAATAACATCGACACAATTATTCACTCTTTCAATTCCATTTTCTGCCTCATTTTTGTTTACATTATTTTCTTTATCATCCATACGTCTTTTCAACGTAACCCTTTTTTTCTCTCTTTTCGAATAACCTTCAATATTTTCTTTATTTTCTTTATCCTCGTCTAAGATATCATCATCGTCATCATCATTATCCTCCTCCTCCTCATCATCATCCGTTTTTTTCTCATTTTTTATACGATCGTAAAAGTTCCCGTTATTATTTGTAAGATATTTAATAACGTTCGATTTGTTATCGATTATATTTGACAGAATTTGATTACCATTGATTTGTCGTTTATTAACGCACGGCGATTTTGGAATTCCACCAATTATTTGAAAACGACAACGATAATCTTCCTCTTTTTTGTTCGTACGTCTGTTTGCCAATGATTTCATCAACAGAACAGACAGCTCCGATGTTTCGTAACGTTCGACCGGCGTTGATTTTTCTTTAATCTCCTTCACCTAACCAATCAAATTATAATCTTGTATATTTACGTATACACGTTTTAAAAATATATTTTGCTCTTCTTGACCCCCTTCGTCATAACAAAATTGATTCAGACAAATGTTACATTGTTTATTTTATTTATTAACATAAATTATATCGCGCTATTTGAAACCAAATAAGTTTCTGTTTAAAATGAAAATAGAAAAAAATTCAATTAATTTATTCTGGACATTTGTATGAAACCGATTAAATAAAAAAAAAAAAACAACACCCCCCCCCGCTCGTGATTGAAATTTAGATAAATTTTGTCTGTGAACAATTTTTTCCTTTAAAATTTATTTCTAGTATTTATAAATTTGTGAATCTTGCTCTGTATAATTTAATCATATAAATAAATAAGAAAAAAAAAAAGAAAGAAAGAAAGAGAACAAACGTGCGCGCGTTAAAAGGTATAGTCGTTAAAAAAAGAAAAATTGTTATCAATTGAAAAACAAAATTTCAGAATTTATTCTCACCGTTTTCCCGATGTTCAATGGATGTGAATCTCTCACGGTGATCCATTGATTATGATCATTTATAGACATGTTTGACAAATTATCGAACTTCCTCGTTTCTCGATTCTTCTCACCGATAAATTTATCTATTCTTATTCTTTTTCCCCACTTTACTTTAATGATTTAATTTAACTGCTGATATAAATATCAAAACAAAAAATTAAATAAAAAAAAAGAAATAATTAAAAAATGATAATACGATTAAGAGATTTGATTTGAGTAATAATAAAATCATTTACAGGCTTATATTACGTTTGTAATAATTATATAATAATTTATACAGGTGAGACGTCGTTGAAATACGAAATAGAACTGTAGATAATAATCTTGTGTTATTTATATTTATATATTAATTTGAAATGACAACGTTTGTTCGTAAATTCAAATACAATATTTTATACACATTATTATATTATCATGGTTCACCTTTGTGTGTTAATGATCCTTTCAAAAATATCCGTTAAAGAAATATATTTATTCATTTAACATTATATATATATATATATATATGAACTTTAGATATTAAAATTTAATCTAAAAATCACATATAACGTTATTTAAATTAATAATGAATTGTTTCAAATACGATTATGATGAAAAATTGTTTTTTAACGGTATAATTAAATTAACCAAATTTTATTTATCGTTAATAAAAATCGAATAATCATAATGCCTTATCGATTATTTAGTTTCATTTAAAAATATTGTGCGAATCCTTTTGTCGAAACGAGAAAAAAAAAAAGTCAAAAACAGTTAACATTTTTGTCACACCTCTTCTTTTTTTTCTCTCTTTCATACACATACACATACACGCAAACGCATACGCAGATTCACGTGTACTACATACGCATAAACAGAGTGGAGACGAACGAATATCTCGTGTCGTTGCCAAAAACGTGAATATAAATAGGTTTTGTGACAAAAACAAGTGGACGTGTCGGGTTCTATCGAGTAGGCGTAAAAATCTTTTTTTTTTAATCGGCTCGACGGTCGAATTTCTAGTATTATATATATATATATGTATATATACATAGTACATAGCATATGAACATCAAATACTATACGTATATACCCAGTGGTTCACAAAGTGTACGTCTCAATGCTTTTGTACGAAAAATATCGTAGAAAAATCAATGTGAGGTAAGAAACGAAGGGTGGGGGATGAGAATGATTAGGTCTAGTTGAATTCTACGATTTGAAAAAATGTAATACAATTAACATTCGCTAATCCATTCGATTAATTACTATAATTCGTTAAATTTCTTCAATTACATTTGTTTTTCTTGGGTGATCTAAAACGTGTTGTATTTTATTAAGTAAAGTGTACTTTTTAAAAAATTTAACATTAAGAGAATGCACTTTGGGAAAATTTCTATTCGGAAGGGACGTAGAAAATCAAAAAAAGGTTTGGGAACCACTGGTATGGACCAATATAACCGCATGAACCCTGGCTTATGTGAAAAATCTGACAAAAATGCAATTTATCACATTTTTTGTGTTATATATTTTCTCCTATCTCTCTCTGTATGTTATAAAAAATAATATATATATATGTAATATTTC